GCAGCACCAGCCACAATAGCATCACCTTCACCAACAGCAGCAACAGCAGCAGCAACAGCATCACCACCACCAACAGCAGCAACAGCAGCAACAGCAACAGCAGCAACAGCAGCAACAGCAACAACAGCAGCAACAGCACCACTCCACCACCAACATCAGCCGCAACAGCATAAGCAGTATCGCCGCCAACAAATGGAGGAACAGCAGCAACAGCTGCAAAAGCGTCAATAGCAGCAGCAGCACCACCACCAACATCAGCAGTAGCAGCAGCAGCAGGAACAGCAGCTTCACCACCACCACCAACAGCAGGAACATCAGCAAAAGCAGCAGCAGCACCACCACCAACATCACCACCACCAACAGCAGGAACAGCAGCAACAGTGGCAACAGCAGCAGCACCACCAGCCTACCACCAACATCATCAGCAGCAGCAGCAACAGCATCGCTACCACCAATAGAAGGAACAGCAGGAACAGCAACAGGAGCAGCACCACCACTAATATCAGCAGCAGCAGACACAGCAGCATCACCACCACCAACAGCAGACACAGCAGCAACAGCAGCAACAGCAGCAGCACATACAACACCAATACAAGCAGCAGCAGCAGCAGCAACAGCAGCATCTCCACCACCAACAGCAGCAACAGCGGCAAAAGCAGCAGCAGCACCACCACCAACATCAGTAGCAGCAACAGCGGCAACAGCAGCAAAAGCGGCAACAGCAGCAGCACCACCACCACCAACATCACCAGTAGCAGCAGCAACAGCAGCATTACCACCACCAACAGCAGGAACAGCAGCAACAGCGGCAACAGCAGGAACAGCACCAACAGCAGCAGCACCACTACCACCACCAACATCAGCAGTAGCAGCAACAGCAGCATCACCACCACCAACAGCAGGAACAGCAGCAACAGCAGCAACAGCAGCATCTTCACCACCACTGTTACAGCAGCAACAGCGGCAAAAGCAGCAGCGCCACCACCACCAACATCAGTAGCAGCAACAACAGCAACAGCGGCAACAGCAGCAACAGCACCACTCCACCACCAACATCAGCCGCAACAGCAACAGCAGTATCGCCACCACCAACTGGAGGAACAGCAGCAACAGCAGCAAAAGCGGCAACAGCAGCAGCAGCACCACCACCAACATCACCAGTAGCAGCAGCAGCAACAGCAGCATCACCACCACCAACAGCAGCAAAAGCAGCAGGAGCATCACCACCAATGTCAGTAGCAGCAACAGCAGCAAAAGCAGCAATAGCAGGAACAGCGGCAACAGCAGCAACAGCAGCAACAGCAGCAGCACCACCAGCCTACCACCAACATCATCAGCAGCAGCAGCAACAGCATCGCCACCACCAATAGCAGGAACAGCGGCAACAGCAACAGCAGCAGCAGCACCACCAACAGCAGCAACAGCAGCAACAGCGGCAAAAGCAGCAGCAGCACCACCAACACCAACATCAGCAGCATCAGCAGCAGGAACAGCAGCATCTCCACCACCAACAGCAGCAACAGCGGCAAAGCAACAGCACCACCACCACCAACATCAGTAGCAGCAACAGCAGCAACAGCGGCAACAGCAGCAGCACCACTACCACCACCAACATCAGCAGTAGCAGCAACAGAAGCTTCACCACCACCAACAGCAGGAACAGCAGCAACAGCAGCCACAGCAGCAGCAGCAGCACCACCACCACCAATATCAGCATCACTATCAATAATAGCAGCATCACCACCACCAACAGCAGGAACAGCAACAACACCAGAAACAGCGGCAACAGCAGCAGCATCACCATAACCACCAAAATCAGCAACAGCAGGATCACCACTACCAACAGCAGAAACTGAAGCAACAGCAGCAGCAGCACCACCACCACTACCACCAACAACAACAACAGCAATAGCTGCATCACCACCACCAACAGCAGAAACAGCAGCAACGGCAGCAACGGCAGCAACGGCAGCAAAAGCAGGAACAGCGGCAACAGCAGAGCACTACCACCACCGATATCAGCAGCAGCAGCACCAGCAGCAGCATCACCACCACTGACAGCAGGAACAGCGGCAACAGCAGAGCACTACCACCACCGATATCAGCAGCAGCAGCAGCAACAGGAGCATCACCACCACCAACAACAGGAACAGCAGCAACAGCAGGAACAGCGGCAACAGCAACAGCAGCAGTACATCCACCAACATCAGCAGCAACAGCAGCATCACCAACGCCAACAGCAGCAACAGCGGCAAAACCATCACCACCACCACCACCAATATCTGCAGGAGCGGCAAAAGCAGCATCACCACCACCAAAAGCAGGAACAGCAACAACAGCAGCAACAGCGGCAACAGCAGCAGCAGCACCATAACAACCAACTGTGACATCAGCAACAGAAGGATCACCACCACCAAAAGCATAAACTGCAGCAACAGCGGCAACAGCAGCAGCACACCCACCACCAACATCAGCAGTAGCAGCAACAGCAGCATCACCACCACCAACAGCAGGACCAGCAGCAACAGCAGCAACAGCAGCAACACCATCAGCAGCAGCAGCAGCACCACCACCACCACCACCAATATCAGCAGCAGCAGCAGCAGCTGCATCACCACCTTCAACAGGAGGAACAGTCACAACAGCAGGAATAGCAGCAACAGCAGCAGGACCACCACCACCGACATCAGCAGCAGCAGCAACAGCAGCATCACCACCACCAAATGGAGGAACAGCAGCAACAGCAGCACCAACATCAGCAGTAGCAGCAGCAGCAACAGCAGCATCACCAACACCAACAGCAGGAACAGCAGCAAAAGCAGCAGCAGCACCACCACCAACATCAGTAGCAGCAACAGCAGCAACAGCGGCAACAGAAGCAACACCACCAGGCTACCACCAACATCAGCAGAAGCAGCAGCAACAGCATCGCCACCAATACCAGGAACAGCAGGAACAGCAGGAACAGCGGAAGCAGCAACAGCAGCAGCACATCCACCACCAACAACATCAGCAGCAACAGCGGCAACAGCAGCAGCAGCACCACCACCAACAGCAGCAACAGCGGCAAAAGAAGCAGCAGCACCACCACCAACATCAGTAGCAGCAACAGGAGCAACAGGGGCAACAGCAGCTACAGCACGACTCCACCACCAACATCAGCAGCAGCAGGAACAGCAGCATCACCACCACCAACAGCAGAGACAGCAGAAACACTAGCAACAGCAGCAGCACCACCACCACCAACATCAGCAGCAGGAGCCACAGCAGCATCACCACCACCAACAGCAGCAACAGCAGCATCACCACCACCACCATCAACATCAGCAGCAGTAGCAGCAGCAGCAACAGCAGCAACACCACCACCAAAATCAGCAGCAGCAGCAAGAGGAGAACCACCACCACCACCAACATCAGCAGCATCACCACCACCACCACCACCACCACCACCACCACCACCACCACCACCACCACCACCACCACCACCACCACCACCACCACCACCACCACCACCACCACCACCACCACCACCACCAACAGCGGCAACAGCAACAGCAGCAGCACCACCACCAACAGCAGCAACAGCGGCAACAGCAACACCACCACCAACATCAGCAGCATCATCATCAGCAGAAGCAACAGCAGCTGCAGATCACCACCACCAACAGCAGGAACAGCAGCAGCAGCAGCAGCAACAGCAGCAACAGCAGTAGCACCATCACCAATATCAACAGCAGCAGCATCACCAACACCAATGCCAGCAACAGGGGCAAAAGCAGCAGCATCACCACAACCAACATCAGTAGCAGCAACAGCAGCAACAGCAGAAACAGCGGCAACAGCAACAACAGCATCACCACCACTACCAACATCAGCAGCATCACCACCACCAACATCTGCAGCAGCAATAGCAGCAGCACCACCACCAACATCAGCAGCAGCAGCAGCAGCAACAGCAGCCACAGATCACCACCACTAACAGCAGGAACAGCAGCAACAGCAACAACAGCAGCAACAGCGGCAACAGCAACAGCAGCAGCACCACCACCACCAACATCAGTAGCATCGTCAGCAGGAGCAACAGCAGCCGCAGATCACCACCACCAACAGCAGGAACAGCAGCAGCAGCATGAGCAGCAGCAGCAGCAACAGCAGCATCACCACCAACAGCACCAATATCAGCAGCAGCAGCAGTAGCAGCAACAGCAGCATCACGAACACCAACGCCAGCAACAGCGGCAAAAGCAGCAGCATCACCACAACCAACATCAGTAGCAGCAACAGCAGCAACAGCAGCAACAGCGGCAACAGCAGCAACAGCAGCAACAGCGGCAACAGCAGCAACAGCATCACCACTACCACCAACATCTACAGCAGCAACAACAGCAGCATCACCACCACCAACAGCAGCCGCAGATCACCACCACCAACAGCAGGAACAGCAGCAACAGCAGCAACATCGAAGACAGCAGCAGCACCACCACCACCAACATCAGCAGCATCAGCAGCAACAGCAGCATCACCACCAACAGCAGCAATAGCAGGAACAGCAGCAACAGCGGCAACAGCAGCAACAGCGGCAACAGCAGCAACAGCAGCATCACCACCAACATCATCATCATCATCAGCAGCAGCAGCAGCAGCAGCAGCAACAGCAGCAGCATTTCCACCGCTAACAGTAGGAACAGCAGCAACAGCGGCAAGAGCAGCAGCAGCAGAACCACCACCACCAACATCAGCAGCAGCAGCAACAGCAGCATCACTACCACCAACAGCAGCAACAGCAGCAACAGTGACAACAGCAACAGCAGCAGCACCGTCGCCACTGGCGCCTGCAGCAGCACCACCATTTGAAAACAGCAGCATTTAATATCTGTAGCAGGACTAGCAGCAGCAGCAGCAGCAGCAGCAGCAGCAGCAGCAGGGGTGGTGGTTAAGACATGATACCACACGTGGGTGAGGGACACAGGCGTCATCGAACATCACACGATATGCCATACCTAGCTCTGATTCCAGCGACTGGATGCAAAAGCAGTTTTCAGCATTCCTCACACAGACCCCGGTTGACCAGAGCACCAGATCCGTCAGTAGCAAGGCTTTGACCGCATCCGCTTTGGTCGCCTGTGTCTCCTTACGGCGTAGCAGTGGTGATATCACGGAAGCAGCTGACGAAGTGACCACAGAGAATAGCAGAGGCATGCACGGCTGACCATCTTCGTCCGTGCCGATGCGACTCAGCAGCAATCGGGCGATCAGGCGACTCCAGAAGCCGCTGGGTATGTACGCCATGCAGTACACACGCTGGATGTAGTGGACAGCGGGTTGGCTGCTTGGTACCTGACCGCCACCGTCTAGCTTACGGTTCGGCGATGGAGACAAACCGCCGTTACTCCCTTGCTGCTGTTGCTGCTGCCAGTGCTGTTGGAAGTAGACGTTCACCCACTGGCTGAGCGGAAAGTTGGCCGGTGGACGCTCGGGGAGCATGGACGGCACCAGCAGAAACCTGTCGCTGAC